TCTGGGTCTATGTTATGGTTTACTCCAGTAGAACGCTTCCAATGTACATTGTCGCTTCGTGCGGGAGGTATGCCCATCAATGGTGTCTCGCAGGACTTTTTGATAACAATGCCTGAAGGAGGCAGTACGGAGCCCATGCCCGTTCATGCATGGGGTCCCACGCTCTTTATTCAAGGGGCAACTCCACCGATCATAAACAATGTGTCGTCTCCGAGGACGTCTAATCAACTCTTTAGTGTACTTGTTACATTTACACCACTATCACGTTCCATTGCCTCTACCTCCGGAACACTTGTGTACGCCGATATCGTAGAATTAAAGAAGGAGAGTGGCGGTGAAGTTTCCCTCACGTTGATGGGTTCTGGGTTAAGTCCCAGCAACAAGTATGGCGTGCGATCGACGCCTGAATGTGCCGAGGGCGTTGACAGCGAGGCTAGGGTGACTAGTAGTAAGATGTCCACCACCGAATTACAATTGTCTGCGAATGTGGCAGAAGGGCCCTTTTATCTTTGCTTTGCACCCAGTGATCAGCCGGAACGTTGGCAATCACTTTCAAGCGAAGCGTTGGACTACATATCCAGTGGTGGTTTGGATAAATGGAAAACTCTTTTAATTGTTGGGGTTATACTTCTTTTATTACTATTAATACTTCTGGTGGTGGTGGTGTGGCGGGTATGCATGTTCAAGCGTCGAGAAGAATCACAGTACGTACAGAAGGCAGTTTACATGCCACCGCGTGCCAATTACCGTTTCCTCCGCCGTGACAGAACTGAAACACAAACAACGGAGAAGTTGCCTCCGTCTGCCCCAACCACGACATTCAAACCCTTAGCAGAACGAAAGGAGATGGTTTCATCACCGATGAGGCGGAGCAACCACAAGGTGCGTATTAATATCCATGACCATGATGCGTATTCGGATGTTGAAGTAGAAGGGGATGGTGAGACGAAGTTGCGCCCTATGGCTCCAGGGGGCCTCAAGAAACGTGAAAGCAATGGGGAAATGAAAAAAGATTCACATAAATTTGCGGAGCTGGATTCCAGCGAAGACGAACCGTCTCGTTTTATTCCATCCGTGCCACCACCAAAGCCGCCAAGAGACGATGACGTCATTCCGCTTATTGGGGCAGTGGAACAGGCTACGGAAGCACGGCTAGTGGCGGGTGAGGAGACATCGCGCTCTGGACCGTACCAACATTTACATCGGCAGCCTCAAGAGCGGCCACCGATGGAAGCGCAGTTCTCACCCTCCTCCAATGTGGCGGCGGCGGCAGCAAGCACAACGACAACAACGGCCATGGGCGAAGACGCCGACAGAGATCAACAGTGGGTGGGGCCTTTTTTGGTGAGAGGACACACTTCCAGGCCGATGGTGAATCAAAATTCCCCTTCAAATGGCACTGTCAGAAATGGTGACAGACGGAATGGGAATTAAATCTATTTGCTTCCAAAATACCTCCAGTAAAAACTGGGGAAGCCAAGATGAAGCATTTATTTGTTTTTATTTTTATTTTATAGAAGAACAGAAAATGTCGAGGAAAAACAAAAAAAAATTTTGAAAAAGTAATTTAAAAAGGAAGCAAACGATACAATCAACACCAATGGGTATGTACGTTTGTATTTCTTTTCCGTAGCATCGTGTACGTACTTAATTGCCTCTTGTTATTTGCGTGCGTGTGTGCGTTCGTGTCGGCGAAAAAAAAAAAAAAAAATTTAGCGGTGGGAATTTTCCTTCTTGTGTTTCTTTTTTTCATGGGGGAAAGAAACAAATTGGAGGAGGGTTTTTTGTGGAGCCGTGCAGCCGTCAACCAAAATCACCGCTGCTCTGATATTTTATTTCTTCTTTCTTTTCCGATCATGCGTCGCGGTTTATGACTATTATTATTGTATTTGTTTGTGTATTTTTTGACTTTTACATATTAATTAATTACTTATTTATTTTTTGTTGTTTTCTCTCTGAAAAAAAAAGGACAAAACCGCAACGAATGCTTCTTGACAACGGCTTCCAAAACCCTCCCGTTCCTCCTTCCCGACAACGTTACATACAATCCCTTCCCTCCCACTGTTGAGCGCCATGGCGGGGAGGGAGCGAAGTGATAGAGACTTTTTTGAAAAGAATATGCGACCCGATGGGGCTGAGATAATATTGCATTTTGTTTGACAATTCTTTTCCTTTGTGTGTGTGCTACTTGTTTTCTGTTTTCCACTATTACTGCATCGGGCCGCGGGGGGTGCGGTTCTTTTTTCCCTCGCAACCGACCCATCCGCCACTGCCCTTTACGCGGGAGGAATCCGGTTGTTGCGGGACCCTGAGGACTCGTCAATTCATGGGTTCACAGCGAGAGCCCATTGAGCATGGCCACATATCTTTTGAATCCCTCTTTGTTCGTGGGTGCTGAGCGGACCTCCTCTGAATTAGAATTCTGAAACGCTGAAAGAAGCTGTGATCTTCCATTGTTGTACTTTTACTCCGTAGGAACGGAAGAGAAGTCCTTATCCAGACACATTTTCTGTATCTTTCTTTGTCGTGCCTATTTTACGCGTGTATATATTTTTCTTTTTTTTCTATTTTTTATTTATTTATTGTGATTTTTTGCTTTTAAACAAAAGGGGTCGGGTATTTTGGCACAGAAAAGTGGAAGCCCATGCAATCAAATGCCCTTCGGGAGGCGGTGGGGGCATGATGGGCAAACCGACGTTCGAGATTATTTGGACACTTGTGAAAAAGAAAGCTCACCGTGGGTCGGTGGATTGGTCATCTGGTAACCGTTTCGCATTTCCACAATGGAATGATCTTCCGGGCAGCTGGCCGGATCCTAAAAATGTACGGAAAACAAACGAGCTAGGGAGAATGGGCTGGCTAGTTGCTTCGGCCTTTTCTTTTCATTCAATATATAGGAATCTGTGGAGCACTAGCATGGTCCTTTGTCCTTCCTTAGGTTTGAAATATTATTACTTACGAAGTGGCAGACTTTGGGGTCCTCCAGCCACAAGACCCCGCCGCTGCCCTTCGCAAGTTCCACCCTTCGCCAAGTCCTGAAGTGTAAAAAGTCGACCGCGTGATATGCCGTCTGCGGGGTTTTCTGCTGACCGCACGTAAGCAAAAAATGCCTGTATGCCGCGAGAGTCCAAAAACTCATATATCACTCGCAGCTCCCACGTCAACGCGTGCGATTTCGAGCTGCCTTTATTCGCCGCTCCTTGCAGCGAAGTGTTGTCCACCCAAACGTCCATGGTGGATGGCACGATGGCGGAAAAGGCCGATAAGGCTAAGCGTGCCGCACACGCCTCGGCCTGCATGATAAGAAAAGGATTCCTCTTCCCAGTTCCCTCCGGCAATTTTGACGTCGCAGGAGTCTGGAATGATAACGGCCCCTTATCCATGAAGCGACGCATCCGTGATGATGGCTGCCGATGCCTTTTCCGTGGAATTGATGATTCGCTTACGGTTGTATTCTCGATGATGTGTCGCAATCTCTCGCCCTAACCAACCGCTGCCGACGGAAGGTTCGCAAGGGATGTCTCCATCAGAATCCCTTGGTGAAGTGCGGATAATCGTTGTTGCACTGCCTTGATAAAAAAGTAGTAGTCGCATAAACGCGTGCACAAAATGGCCGCCGCGTACAAAAGCGTGACGCCATAACCTCCATTTCCGCGATGGTTGAAGAATTGAGCGCCGGCATGGCGCATACAGACCGGACAAACTTCTTACTCAGGGATGCCGCCCGGTGAGTGTGATCAAACTGCACCCCCAGGAGGGTGTACTGCGTGGCGTCCAATTCGCGGTCCTCCCTATCGTGGCGCGACGGCCGACCGCATTACGAAGCACTTGGGTCTCCCACAATGTCACGTCGCTCTTCGACCTTGTGATGCGCATATTATCGATCCAAACGTCGATACGCACCAATGGAGGTGCACCTAAGAGGCGCTGAACCACCGTCGTCGCCTCGGCAACTGCCAATAACAATCTGGCGAATTTCTGGGCTGGCCTTGTATCCCATAGGGAGCCGTGCGGGCTCCACCAGCGCGCCGTCCCCCACGCAGAATCAAAAGGGGTGCCGAGTCTCCCGCGGTAAGACTTGAAAAAAGGACGCCTTCGAGTCCAGGCAGGAAGCGGCCTCAGCCATCACAGGCGGCAAATAATGGGAAATGCACGAAAATGAACATGAGCCTCGGAAGGGTCGTGTCTGTTCTTGTCGCGCGGCCCCGCGATCCATCATCGTCGAAAACCGGTGGCCTTTCCTCTCCGCAAACGCAAAGGGTTTTATCCATCCACCTGCTATCGCAGAATAAGCGCCCTCAATTATTCCCAATTAATTCAATAATCGCGCGTCGTCGACCGGAATCCTCCGCGGGCTTCCGCCTGGCGTGGCGGAGGGCTGGGGAAAAGAGGACCGCCCGACGCGTCCTTGTCGCGCGTCTTGTGGTGGTGGCGGGGCGATGGTGAAAACCGCGGAAAAAACGCTCCTCTACTGTCGGCCAGGGTTCCTGTCCTTCCGCGGTTTCCCTCGCATCAACGCGACCAGCGGCGACGCCTGGGCCGGCGTGGTGGCGCGCTTCCCCGGATATCGCGCTGTGTTCTTGGAAGGTCGAACGGCTCGCCGTCATCCGCGCAAGTCGAAAGGCAACCCGTCACTTCCATTCGGCCCGGCTGCGGATGAATGGATCCGCCTCTTCCTTTTTAAAGGGCGCGTCCGCTTCGTCTCCGATCGCGCCGCGAGTTTTTGCAACCCCAGAACCGCCACGCCCAGCGGAGTCCGATTCATTTGCGACATGGGCCGCGGCATCCTGGCGTCCTGCGGTCGGGTCGGTGGCGCCGCGTCGATTGCCATCGAAAAGGCCGCGCGGCTCGCCTCTTTGTTCGGCTTTTCGCGTGTGCGGCGGGAGGCTGTGGGGCTCCC